TCGGGCAGCGCGTTGGGAATGCTGCCCGACATCCTGGCCAGCTGCAGGGTGAAGTTGGTGCTGGGGCCCCCCAGGCTGAAGCTGTACTCGATGTGCCTCCTGTTCCCCCTCCAGTCCTGCAGCTCGATGCGCAGCAGGTAATTCCCCTGCTGGGTGATGGAGTAGATCTTCTTCAGGCCCAGCCAGAATTCCTCTGCAAAGTTGGAGGGAAGAGATGGTTATAGGTGGTGTGTGTGAAGATACAGTATTTAAAAGGCTTTATTAATTGCTTTAATTAAATCAGTGATTTGAGTCTTGGGGACCGTTGATCTTTGCAGAGGTCTGCTGCTACATTCTTTTTGTTTACCTCTGCTTAATTGCACACTGATGATCAATAAAAGCAGGAGTTCTAAATGAACTGGAGCTTCCCCCTTTTAAGTTTCCCACCTCATGTGGAACTCTGAGAGGGAGCTGGAGACATTTAAGAGGTGTGTAATTGGAATGTGTGACAAATGAAACCAGTGACATACATAAAACCTAATGGCAATTGTTGCATTTTGGGAGGAAAGAGCTGCAGAACCAAACTGGGTTCCTGCAGAAAGGGAATTTTTCTTTTGCTGGAATTTCTGATCATTAGTTTAATTGGTTCCATATATTATATTCATTAAGTAGCTTCTAATCAGCACAGGTAATTGCCACATGTACAAAGTGGGGCTGAATGTGAGTGCCATGCACACAGCTGGCATTTAAACCATAGAGCACAAGATGCTTGAAGAAAATACTCCCTAATTTCCAGGTTAGGAGCTGTAACCTGGTTTATTTTATCTCCTCAGAAGAGCACTGAGTAGAACATAGCTGAGAGCAGTGAAATTCTCTGTAAAATCCAACACTGAAAACATTTGGCTGCTTTTTGGTGCAGTATTTGGGAAGTGGGAGACCAATCAAGGAGCCACTAAAGCATCCAGAGGGATCAGATAAACTTTACAGCTGGGAACTTCTATCCCAGAGCTGAGGGGAAGGTTCAGATCCAGCAGCTCTTTATTATAAAAGAAATGGAAATAAGTCAATATTGCTGCTCACCTGGGTGAGGTTTAGATCTGTGCTATGCTTAGAAAGTCAGACTATTTCCCAAACAAGAGCTCACTCATTTTGGACAAGAAGAACATGGAGAAGATTCTGGATGAGGAGGCTGTCGGGCAGCACTTGGTGCTACAAATTCTTTGGAGTTGATGATTAACAGGGGGACGTGGGTGTTTCCTCACCCTATCCAGCCATGGAGGGGATTGGCCACTCTGGAGAAGCCTGAGGTGTTTGCTCAGGGGAGCACACACAGCCTTGGGCTCTCCTGAGGCTGCAAAAATTGATGTGGTTTTAAGGGTAACAGCAAGGCTCAGAGAAAGTAGTGACAGCAGCTTCATGAGGTTTTGCTTTTGTGTGTATTTGAAATGCTTTGGGATGTGCTTTTATAAGTAGTAAAATCTTGGTGAAATGGTGTTTAAAGCATTCTGGCCTTGATTCAGTTTCTAAACACACATTTGAAGGGATGTCTTTGAGAATTTCACAAGCTATGTGTTCTAGTAAGCACTTCCTGATATTCCAAATAAATCAGTCAGCTGTTATTTGCAGGCTTAGTCTGCTTTCCTTTCCATAAGGAGATCCAGCTTCTCAAATCAATTGATACACAAAAAAAGAGAGGAATATTTACCATTGAGGTCACCAAAACCATTTGTGTAGGCATCCCAAGTTTGGTTGAAGTCCAGTGATCCGTCCACTCTCTTCTGGATTACAGTCCAGGATGTGCCTGTGAAAAGGGAAATAAGTCACAGCTGGGCCTTGGCCTCATTCCCTGTCCCTGAGCGTGCTCTGGGGTGCTCCCATTTTGAGACAGAACGAGTTAATTGAGGTCTTGATGAAGGGAATTCAAATGAGCCCAGCAGGAGAGAGCCCAGGGCCCCTCAGGTGTCCTTGGCCACACCTGGGGTGCCTCCTCTCACAGAATTATTCTGTCAGGCTGCCTCAACTGGGTTTCACTTGTTTATGAGGGCTGAGAGACAGAGAAACTGATAAAGAAGAGATAAGAGCCCCAGACACTGGCTCAGAGGGTCAGAGTGCTGATAGTGGCCGAGTGCTGGGGCTGTGTCCCTGCAGCTCCAGCAGGATCTTCCCTGAGCCAGGTCATGACACCCTCGGTGCAGCTGCTGCAGCAAACGCAGCAGAGCAGCTTTGTGCAGAGGGCAGCCCTGGGAGCTCCGTGTGCTCACCCAAACACGTTGAGTGCCCCTCATGCCCTCTCCAGCTCTCTGAGGGCATGGAAGGGATGGGGGCAGGCACAGAGCAGCTCTGGGGGTGCAGAGCAGCCAGGGAACAAGGGAACTGGCCAAGCTTTGCACGGCAAAAGGAACAAATTTGGGTTCCTTTAGGAAGGTGACATGGCAGTTGTGTTCCTGGCTGCTGAGCCACCCAATGGCACAGGAATCCTGTCCCAGGACTCACTTCTCTGGGTTCAGTTTGGCTCAGCTCAATCTAAAGCTCAGCCTGTTAATGAACAAAATTTTACTTCTGTAAAAGCAAATTGTTTGCTGTTTGCTTTTCTTTGAGAAATGTATTCATGGTTGCCCTACAGTGGGTTTTATAATGACAGTTTTCATTGCCTACAGCTAAAGGGGCTTGGGATTTGGATATCCTTAATTTATATCACATGATTGAATGTTATTTCCTCAGTATAAACAAGAGGGGAGTAAAGAAGGGAGCAGTGATAAGGAGATTTCAGGATATGGGAAACCTAACTTAGAGCAGACAGGCCACGAAGAGAAGTCAAGAAGATAACATGAATCATAAGTTTTTGTGTACTTTGGGAGGAGACAAAGTTATTTGGCTTAGAGGAAGATACTTGTGTGAAAATTGGACTGTTGCTGGCACAGCTCTTACCAAATTTTGTTTCACAGTAGACATTGAAAGCTTCTGAGCCATTGGGCTGAATAGTGTAGACCCCACTGGTCTGCACCCCAGTGTGGTAGAGGGCAGTGCAGTCAGCAGCAGCACCTGGGGAGCAAACAGCCTGTTAGAAATCCTGCTTGGGATGTGCTGAGCTGAGAGATAAACAAAAAAATGGGAATGATCATACTGGGAATTTCATTTTACAATAAATGTCATGGAATGGACAGACTGCTTTGGGCATAATAGTGCAGCTGCCAAGGTGTGCATAGGTTGTGGTTTTAAAGTTAGGCAGGGCTTCAGTTTGGAGGATTTTGGAAAGTTTCTAAGGCCTAAGACTAGACTCTGGCAAATGGGCTTCCCTACCCCTTGTAAAGCTCCTAGTAAATGCCATGCTCACTGCTACACTTCATCAGTGCCTTTCATCTTCAAAGAGAGGACTCCTAAATCTTGTAATTAGCCAGTGTGGAGTAAATGAGTTCTGTGTTCAGGCTCCACAAGAGAGACATGGGTAAAAGCATGGCCACAGCATGTTTACAAGAGGGGAATGGATCCTGTTACTGCATTCTTGGACATTGTCCCTGTGTGTCACCCCAGAGACAAGTACAGCTGGAGTGGGCCTAAATAGATAATGACATTTTTTCCAAAGAAGGAAATCTAATTCCTTCCCACAGCCCAGTGTATCACTTAAAAATCTTCTCCTTTTAGTCTTTGTCTCCTACAAACCAACCCAGGGCTGTCCCAGGGGCGGTGGGAATCAGCACCTGCTGCAGTCAGTCTCAGATGGGCTCTCACCATCAGCTCTGTACGTCCCAGCCGTGGGCCTGTGCACAGCAGAGGGGATGGGCTCTGCCTCCTGCTGCTCCTCCAGGAAGGAATTCTCCAGCAGCTCCAGGAGCTCGATGTGGTTTAGCTGGAAGAGCCACAATTACACTGTTAACTTCCCAAGGCTCTGGAATGATGAGGTGCATGGATCAAGACAATGTCATGCAGAGAATAATTTTTCTTGAGAGTGTAACCCTGTGGAATACCCAGTTTACCACATAAAAATAACTGCAGCTCCATGCTGGTGGATTTTAGGTGTGGGAATGCCAGCTGTGCCACTGCTCTGGCAGGATGGGATTCATGGAGGGAGGAAATGACCCCTTCTCTTGTGGTGCACCTTAATGTGCAAACAGATTTAACTTATTTATAATAATAATTAATGGGCAAACAGATTAGCTTATTTCCTCAGGTGACATCACTTAGACAAATAATGCCAACTGCTGAGGAGGACAGAACCCACAGTTCCTCAGGCTGAAATGCATTTTCCTCTCAGAATAAATTAAACCTGATCATGCTGGTTGTACTGTATTACAGTGATACATGTTGGACTTCCACTCTGGGAGTGGATTTTGGAAATTAAGAAAGAGGTAGAGAGCAATGAGACTTCCAGACCAATGGAAGAGCAATAATGTGGTAAATAATAAGAGGAAAGAGCCCCAAATGAGCAGTCAGAAATGCAGCAGCCTGGTGTTGAGAGACAAAGTCTCACAGCTGTTGTTGGCCACAGCTCCTGCCCAGAGCAGGTACCTCAGAATGATCCCACCTTCCTCTGCACCCCAAGCTCAACAAGGGGTGCCTGACCCCAGGGTGGGACCTCAGCTCCCTCAGTGGCAGAGAGATGGAAGGAGAAGCAGGCTGGCTCCTGTACCTTGTCCTCCAGCTCCATGATCTGGTTGTGCTGCCTGTCCAGCTGCTCGTGCTGGTCCTCCACGATCCTCAGGAGCTGCTTGATGTCGTTGTCCTGCTGCTCCACAAAGGCCTGAGGGCAGGGAGGGGAGGATGGAGGAGGGTTAGGAGCAGCAGCAGACCTTCAGCAGTGGTGCTGCCTCTGGAACTCCTGTCCTTGGGCCAGTTTTGAGAGGCACAAACCACTGAATGTTCCCTTCCCTTTGCAGAGAATCCTAGAATATCCCTAGCTGGAAGGGACCCACAGGGATCATCAAAGTCCAGCTCCAGAGGTTTGCATGCTTTGCCTCTAAAATGACAAAAATGTTTTGCTTCTGGAGTGAGCACCCATTTTATGAAGACAAACTACTGACAGCTTTCTAGACTCCTTTTTTAATTGCTCTTTTCCTTCCCATTTCACATCCAGAACAATTATGTTCTGTGGATTCAGCTCTTGAATCAAACTAGATTAAAAAAGGGAAAAAATCCCAGCATTAAGGGTATCAGGTGGTATTTGAGAGATCAGGTTCTTTTTTTTTGCTTTGACACAAACATCCATTATTTTCTCATAGAAATTGCTTGGCCTTTTTATACTCCTGCAAAATACAGTTAATATTTCCTTTTCTATAAAAAACCTTTCATGCATCTAACTGCTTGCATGATTAACATATTGATTTTATAAACACCTGTAAGGTTCTTTGGTTCTGGAGGTCCTACAGGTGCTATAAATGCCCCTCTCTTAAATGTTTAAGCTCCCTGTTTCTGCACTGGGCAGGCAGTTCCCACTGCAGGGATTTGGGATGAGCTGGTGATGTACAAACCCATGGGCTTGGGAATCTCATGATTTTCCCAATTGCAAAACTTTTTTATCATTATGATGACAAAATTCCTTAAAATCGATTTGCAAATCAATATTGAAAATAATACAGAGCTTTATAATTTCACAGTTTTTCACTGATTTCTCTGGGGAATTTTACTGCAAAATTAACACTGTGTCAGAGTAAGGCAGTGATTTTTTTAAGGTTATTACAGTGATTTCTTCCTCAAAAAATCAGACTAGTACTGCAGTGAGGAGCAAGGGGAAGCATGAGCTTCTATTGCACAATTTCTGGTGATGGCATTGCAGTGTATTTTGGCTCAGTGTGTCAGGGCCTTTCACAAGTCACTTACTTTGAGTGAAGAAATTTCTTTTGTCTCTTGTACCGAAGGCTGGAAAATGGCCAGTTTGGTGACCTTGTCCTCCAGTCCCCACACTTGCTCCTGCAGCTGGATTTTGTTTTGGATGAGGTCTTCAATCTTGAGGTTCATCTCCTGTGAGAGGTTCTTTATCTCCTCGTTGTTGATTTGCAGCCTGGCCGTGGTTTGCCGGAGCTGTTCCTCTTCCTCCTTGATTTCGCTGGTTTGCAGGGAGAGCTCGTAAAAGGACCTGTCAAAGATGTAGAGCTTCTGAAAGATGTCATTGATCTGCCCCTTGGTCTTGTGGACAAAGTCTTTGAGGCCATGGCCCAGCTGGAGGAGCCCGTTGGCCAAGATTCGGACGTCGTCCAACATCGCAAATCGCGATTTCGTTTCGGGAGATGCGGCGGAACCCACGGAGAAAAATTCCTTGTCAGCTGCAGCTGGGAGAGCCAGCGGGGCCAGGAACAGTAAAACTGCAATGATCTTCATCATTCCTGCTCCTGGCTCTCTTTGCTCAGGATGCAGAGGCTTTTCCCAGTGGCAGCTCGTGCTCTGTGGCTGCTCTGGGTTGCAGAGCTTGATCTATTTATACTCCTCTTCATTTTAGGAGAGGCAGAGCATGGGTTGATCATTAAGCTGTGTGTGTTTGAACGAGTGTAACCCCTCCTGAATGTAGGTTGGCACCTGGGAAGATAAAATTGAGAGACGGGCACGTTGCTGATTAAACTGGTTCTGAACTTTTCCATCTGCCAGGCCTTCTGGTGTAAAATGTTATTGATGACACGGTGTTTTTCACACAACTCTTTCTAATAGGTTAATTTTGGGTCATAATCTGGGTAAGAGCTTAAATTGCTCCTTGTTTGTGTTGTTTGGTTCCCTTTATTGCCTCAGGAGTGGGAAAGGATTTTTCCATGTTTGAGAGCACTGGATGTTCAGGTTGTGAAGCTCCTTGATGAGCTGTGGAAGGGCAAAATATTCCCAGATGATTCACACAACTTGATTTTCATCTCAGGCCGTTTTCTGATGTAACTCATTGTGCTGCAGTGGATTTACTTGTCATCGAGCCCAGATTAAGTGAGAAAGAGGGAATTAGGTCCAGAGATTGCCTGGATGTGATTCTGCTGTGTTAAGGTTTGTGCAGTAATTTACACCATATAAAACTTATTTTTTAAGAGCTGCTTTGCAGAGGTGGGTGAGATAAATAATACCTCGCTTGCATTTCTCACCTTAGCATTCTTTTTGCTGTTTAAGATTCACACTGCATAAAGAAAGGCTGCAAGTGCTCTGAAATAAATGCCCAGTTCTGCACTGGGTCTCTGCATGAATACAAGGAGATTTTTGGGTAGTATTTCAGTGTGAGTCAAAGGTATTTCTCTTTCTGGACTCATTCATAGCAATCCAAGAAATCAAAATCAAACATTGCACAATGTGCTTTGGAGGGTTTTCAGGTTTTTGCCAAATTCTTGTATGTTTAGAAATTCTTCCCCTGGAATTTTTATTGTGTTGTTGATGTACATATGCTCGTATGATATGAAGCATCCGTAGAAAAAAGTGTTTAAAAAATGAATTTTTTACCTCATATATTGGATTTTTTGTGTGCTCAGGGGTTGGTAATATCCAGGTGACCTTCCCATTCACAATTAAATACTGTGAAAGTATTTTAGATCTCATATTGATTGCTGGGGAATATTTTGTGCCAGTATGATTGGGATCAGACTTACTGGAGTACCTGGAGTATGGAAAAAGAGCAGAAACAGGGAGATGATCAGGCCCAGCTTTGATAGGGATTCCTTAAAAAAAACCAATTCTGAATTGTTTCTCTGGCATCTGACACAGGGATTTTGAGCTGCAAGCCTTGAAGAACTGGTTGTAAAATTAAAAAAAAAACCAAAAAAAAACCCCCAAACCAATGTATAGACATTCTTCAATCCACTTCACAGTCCTTAAGTGGCTTTGGTTTTGTGTGGTTTCAAATGAACCATTTTCTTTTTTAACTATTTCATGTAAGAAATCTTTCTGGTTTATTTTGAATTCTTTCTAACCCCATCACCCCCAAAAATCTTTCCTCTTGTTTTAGTCTTTCTAAAGATGTAGGGAGTTACTGAAGGAATAGCAATGACCAAACAAGTGGGGATCAGACATTGTACCAGGTTTCTGCAGCTTGTGTCCCTGTGCTGCTGAGGCATGACACTGCCTGGGAAAGGTTTGTTTTCCAAAGGGAAAAGGCAGCCAAAGGCCCTGATGTCAAATATTAATGAAGCACTAATTAGCTGCCAAGCACGTTTCCATATTAATGCCAAGGCCATGGAGTCAGACAGTGCTAAACTCACTGCAGAGCCCCCCTAGATGTCACAACAGTCCCAGAGTCCAGAAGAAAAGTGGGACACAGGAAGGCAGAGAGGAGAAAAGCTTCTGGCATGACTAAACCATCAAATTCAAGAGCTTTGGAAACCCTGAGAGGGAATCCTGCCTCTGAGAGTTGTCAGGAAAAGATGTATATAACAAACATGGTCCTGAAGATCTTTCATGCACCTGTGTGACCCTGATTATATGGGCTTTAAATGATTTTTATAGTAGGAATAAAGCAAAGAAAAAGGTCTCTGGGTTTTACTGAAAAGGGAAATTTTCATAATAGGAAAATTCATTCATAGAAATTTTCATTGTAAGAGTTAGGAGCAGCTCTTAATGTTTTAATGCCTTTGTGAAGGATTTTGGAAAATGGCTGCAATGATATTACATAAATATTTAGAGGAGTGCCTGGTGCCATTATGTCCATGGCTTGGGAAGCCTTTGCACTTGAGCAATTTATTTTATGGAAGTAGAAGTACTGTTGAGATCTGTTTGAGATAATAGGATAAGCTTTGCATATATTAGGCGTGGCATTTTAGTATAAGCTCCAAACACAAGTCCTTTGGTTTACAGCTCCTGCCTGAAACTTTTACTGATGGAAATCAAGACATTTATAATGTTCTGTCACTTTTTCAGCCTCAGTCCCTTCCCATGGCTGTGTTTAGATGAGAAGATCTGAGGTTTTTAGTGATGGGGGTAGAAGAGAGGCTGGGAGAGCTGGGGATGGAGAAGAGAAGGCTCTGGGAGGATTTTGGAGCTCCTTCCAGGGCCTAAAGGGGCTCAAGGACAGCTGGAAAGGGACTTGGGACAATGGCCTGGAGTGACAGGACAAGAGGTGATGGTTTTAACCTGAAAGAGTAGGTTTAGATGAGATTAGATATTGGGAGTAAATGGATTTCTGTGTGGGT